ACTTCTCAGATACTTTTTCGAAATTAATAAAAACCAAAAACAAAAATTAAAAATTAAATGTTGCTTCTGACGGCATTCGAACCCGAACATGCAAATGTGCTTTCAAATGCTCAACTTCAATCACATTTCGTTAAAACACGAGCAGCCGTGCAAAAATCGCGACTACTTCATGCATGCGTGTAAAGAGTACTCCGTAAGGACCAAGGAGTACTCCAAAATTAACCACAATTCATATAAAAAATATGGTCCAATTAACATTGCGATGTCCTAGGGCAGGACCATATACTCCATCCTTGCATTACATCAGAGTAGCACAAAACTACTCCAACATATTAACAATGGCATTGTTGTTATATTTTTCGTTTGTACACGCTTTTGTTCTTAACTTCTCAGATACTTTTTCGAAATTAATAAAAACCAAAAACAAAAATTAAAAATTAAATGTTGCTTCTGACGGCATTCGAACCCGAACATGCAAATGTGCTTTCAAATGCTCAACTTCAATCACATTTCGTTGAAACACGAGCATTGATCGGGTAACAAGCAATAAGCTGGCACAGAGACACGAGTTGGTGCGCTACAGCATGACAGAGGAACACTTTTGTAAGTACTCCAATATACCACAAATAGCCCTGCCAACTTTAAATTGATTAGGAAGGAGCTAAAATTCACTTATTATCTGTATATTTTCTTTGACGAAAGCTAACTATATTTCTATGGCGATGGCCACGAAATAGTCAAGGGTGGTTTACCTCTGCATTAGATGTAGTCAAGGGTGGTTACCTCTGCATTTGATGTAACTAAATTGTAAGTAACTACTTTTGGACATAAAATATCAATAGGAAAAACAAAATATTTATTTTTTTAATTTTTTTATTTTTATTTACTTTATTTATTTTATTAGATTTCATATTTTTTCCATATTCTGCTGTAGGTCCCATATTCGAACTCCGTCAGACATAACTTCAAAATGATAATATGAAATTTCGATCTCCCTTTTATTTGTCCTCAATTCGAAAAAGTATTTGCGAAGTGCAGGATATTTAAATAGAAACGCGTTTAAAGAAAACAATCTCCTTCATTACTCCTGCATTACTTGTCAACTAGTTCTAAGTTAGCTTTTTGTAGCTAACCACAAGTTATATATTTTATAGAAATCCCGCAAAAAAGCTAACTAAAAGTGGGTTATTTTTTATCAATTGATAATTTTTTTCTACAGGGAGACTACATGGTCCAACGATTTTTGCAGGGAAGGCGCAGCGTAGTCGATGTTAAAAACATTGTATGCTCAAAAGCATAGTATATCCACAGCTTTAATATTTAATTTTGTATTATTTTTTTATCCAGCAAATTCCTTTTTAAAACGTTCAAAATTATATTTATACGTTCCACAGCAGCCAACAATTAACTCCGCAATGACACGCGATACAAAAAAAATGATGAAATATTAAACTGCCGGTAATTGAGCATATTGTACGAAAATATTCGTATTTTGTACGAATTTAAAAAACATGTTTCTGTATTAGTACTTTATACGAAAGTATTAACTAAATTGTACGAATACAGAGATGTAGATTTCGTAAATTTTAAAACCATACGTAAATATTACGAATGTCTTCCTACAATAAACAAAATTATTCGTACAGAGATTTGTTCAGTGCTTTAAGAATGTGTTTCGTAACACAAACGTAAGAGTTCGTAAATTGTACTGAAAAAATAACTTACGAAAGTCCTTTCGTTATATTTTCGTATGGTTCGTAAAATCTTGTTTCGTTGTGAAAAATGTGTTCGTATTATGAACGAAAGTTTCGTACATTGTACAAAAACCAACACTACGAAAGATTTTCGTAGATCTTTTACGAAATTTTATTTTCAGTGCAGCCATGGGCTGTACAGTGTTATAAACGTGCAATTAGTTATGATATAATTTTTAATATACCAGACAAATTTTATTTTATCGTATTTGCCTCGGGTAACCTTTCGATGCTTACTGGATTTGCCTGACAAGAGTTTCCTTAATATCGCTAGGACAAAGGCAAAAATAATCCCGTTTTGCACTGCACTATTCTTCAGAAGAGGACCTTCAAAATAAAGCGACAAGGAGGCTATTTAGATTTACGAGAAAGGGCCTGTCCAGAATAATGATTTTTAAGTAAGGGCCTTTCCAGAGTGATGCTTTCGTAACTAGCTAAAATTTTAGGATATACGTCCTTTTTTAAAGAATTTTTTCAGGAAACTGTCCAGAATCACTGGACAGTGGCTGCTTAGAGTGAGCAAATTTGGTTCATTTCTTTTCATTTGGTCCATTGGTCCAATTCTTTTTAAAAGGGTCCATTTCACAAGTCTTTAGTTAGGTTCTCCCTTTCACTTCATACAATAAATTTTGGGTTTTAAGTTTATTGTATTTAATTGATGAATGTTGAATATGTTGAATATGTTGAATATCGTCATCGTCAGTAGAAGTGACGATACGGCCATCGTAAGCCATGTTACTGATGCGCTGACGATCGTCGGCGATGTCGATGACGATATTCTGCATAGGGCCGTTTGGCAGCACCTGCTAAAAGTGTGAACTCGCTTTGCCACTGATCTTCAAATATGGCATGGCAACGCGCGCTTCAAAAAATATCGCGGTTGCTTGCTAATTTCAATTACTCGGTGACCAATATTAAAATGGCTGGGGAAAATATGGAAAGGTAGCAAAACTTTTATCGTAGCATTTGGCACATGAAAATAATATTCGATTTTAATCGAAAAGATATTAAACATCTTGAAATTATTACACCACATAAAGTTCTTTCTGATACTGATGTATCAATTTTGCCGCTCCTGTACCAATTTCCTACATTGGTAAATGATGCAGACATAATTGAATTTCAATTTCGCAAATCGAGGCTGAGTGAAGGTAACTTAAAAAACTGTACCAATGTAGAACGTTTTTCGAATCAAGTAAGTTTGAATAAAATGGATTGGGTGAAGCGGCCCTTGGAGAATTGTGTGATTTAGTTCATAATATTTTTAGTCTGCCTCACAGTGCCGCAGCAGCTGAACGCAAATTTTTTGATTTAAAACTTTAAATAATATAATGTAAATAATATGCAATTGTAATGCACTTTGGATGCAATATAAAAAAAATCGCGATAAAAACTGAGTTGGCATATTTTCTTGATAAAGAGGAATAAGCTCCACTCAATTCCCCGATGTAATAAAAATTGGTCAATTTATTACCATTTGGCCAATTTTTTGGTCCGAAAAATAAATTGGAAATGGCAACCGTGGAAGCGAGATATAGAGATGAGATTAAAGATCTTTCTAATATTCGCCCGAGTGCGATAACATCCTCTCGTTTGGAAGGGAGATCATTTGTTTGGTAGCTCTTCTAGCTTTTCTTTCAAACACTTTTAGGCTTCCTCAAAAGCGTCTCGCAACCACAAAATCAGTACACAACAGATTGTCGATGCGAACGCGTAAATTGCTCGTAACGAAACCGGTCGATCATTGCTATAGCTCCCGCTATTGCCGCCGCCGCACACCAACGCCACAACCAACATCTTCATATCCGCCAGTGCTAAAGGGAAATCAATACCAACATACCAAATCAATACTTTCAACGGAACATATTGTGCTTTTAACAACAGCAACTGAACTCAAATAATTGAAGAACGGTGAAGAGCAAAGTATAATTAGTGGCACAAAAAAATAGAAAGTATGTGAAATATTTGTAATATTTTTTGCAAAAGCTACATTTGTGCATATGTGTACATATGTATGTATGCACATATGTTCACATAGTAAACATTTACATACATTCGATGGCCGATATTTGTATGTAGACACACATATACATATGAATTTACTATGTAGATATGTATGTAGACATGTTTTGAAACGTAGGTGTATCCGATGGTTAAACAGGTTCTGTAGAAAATATCTGATTTCTATAAACTAATGGCCTTATTCATAAAAAATAAAGTAGGTTTAAAGAGCTTTATAAAGTGACGTTTTCATACATTTTTCAGTTTATAAACGTTTTTTAAAGCTACTTTATTTTTTATGAATAAGGCCATAAGTATGTATGTCTTACAGTTTCCCTACTCGATCCTCAATTCATACATAGGTAGGTATGTACGTGCATAGGTACATATCTAGACAGTATGTTCACCTACTACCTACATACGTGTACGAATTCGCCTAGGTTGAATGTATTAGGAAGTGGGCGAGGAAAAACAGTTGCAAGTAATTTTTGATGGCAATTGGCCAAAATTTCTTAGCAAATGTGAGCAAAATTGTATATGCAATGAAAAACAGAACGAATAGCGAATGGTAGTCGTCGAATTGTTTGAAATCGCTGCGCCTAAGAAAATGTGAATTTACGGTCCATAAAAAAATACAAAAAAAAATTGAATATCGCCGACAGATGTGAAAAGCACCGTTTTTCTGTCTCAAAACATGCTCAGTGGCAGTGAACTAATTTTAGAATAATTCTTTTACACATAATTTTTTGTTTGTTTATGAGAGAGCAATGTGTTTTCACATATATACATAATGCCGTTTAAAGTACAAAACCGCGTATCGTCATTCTGAAAAACCGCGAAACTGACATTTGCCGCCAAAAATTGGATTTGCTCACATAAGCTCTTGGCTCAATCCTTATCCATTCGTCCTGAAATATATTAGCCAGAAATGCGATTGCTTTATAAAAAAGATAAACATTGAAATATGAGTGTTTTTACTCTTTAAAAAATAATCTATACAACCTCACATACGCGGTTTTGCATTTTGTTAATACGCGGTTTGAACTTTAAACGACGATACTATGTACGTATGTACATGGATACATATTTATATACATACATACATATATATATTTGAACTTTAAACGACGATACTATGTACGTATGTACATGGATACATATTTATATACATACATATATATATGCATGTACATAATATACTACATATGTATGTGCTTTTTATTACATCTGTACACACACATATATATGTACGTAATGTACATATCATTTGAGTGGCCAAGTAAAATGCAAACATAGATATTCGTTCACTCATACATGCATGAAATAGACATTGCTCACCAACGCTCAAATGAACAGATGCGAAGATCATCATCAGCGGCAGGGTGTCCAGATTGTTTTAAAAAAAGCGCCATTTCTGAAAAAAAAAATCGCCAAAAATCGCCAATTTTTTTAACTAAATTCATGAAATCAATTTAACAAAAATTTTATTTTTAAAATGAGATCTTGTTATAATAGTTTTCAAAACCAAAAACGAATATAGTACCTTCAGAGGGTAATAATAAATAACACATATCACTTATATAATAGTGATGTACAAACAATTATCTTTAAAAATACGCATACTTTTTAAAAATATTTGTTTCAACACATTTTGCAATAGGACTGCGCAATTATTAAATTTATTATAACTCATATTGATTGAGTAATCGAACAATCCACTTTTAAGAGCTCTGCGCTAAAAATTAAATAAAAACCTATAATAAGGCGAGATCAGCTATTTCCACAATTTCTTCAAAATCACCTACAGTGTCTGAATGATACATACATTTCTGTTGTCATATATTGAGCTATTCAACCTTGATAACATACTGTTCGATTTGGAAACGTTTTGCTGCAGAAACTATTAGCCTTCATATAACACTTTATTCGATCTATTGAATTTAGGCTTTCCAACCTCATCCTATTTCGAATCTTAGTTTTTGTTGAATTCATTGCGGAGAAAACGCGCTCAACAAAGCATGTGAGTGCGTCAAGGATAATAATATGAATTTACTTATATTTCCAAACATTTTATTGCCTGTTGCTGTTTGCACTCCGTAAGCAATTATCCAAAATTCTTCAGAGNACATTGAAATATGAGTGTTTTTACTCTTTAAAAAATAATCTATACAACCTCACATACGCGGTTTTGCATTTTGTTAATACGCGGTTTGAACTTTAAACGACGATACTATGTACGTATGTACATGGATACATATTTATATACATACATACATATATATATTTGAACTTTAAACGACGATACTATGTACGTATGTACATGGATACATATTTATATGCATACATATATATATGCATGTACATAATATACTACATATGTATGTGCTTTTTATTACATCTGTACACACACATATATATGTACGTAATGTACATATCATTTGAGTGGCCAAGTAAAATGCAAACATAGATATTCGTTCACTCATACATGCATGAAATAGACATTGCTCACCAACGCTCAAATGAACAGATGCGAAGATCATCATCAGCGGCAGGGTGTCCAGATTGTTTTAAAAAAAGCGCCATTTCTGAAAAAAAAAATCGCCAAAAATCGCCAATTTTTTTAACTAAATTCATGAAATCAATTTAACAAAAATTTTATTTTTAAAATGAGATCTTGTTATAATAGTTTTCAAAACCAAAAACGAATATAGTACCTTCAGAGGGTAATAATAAATAACACATATCACTTATATAATAGTGATGTACAAACAATTATCTTTAAAAATACGCATACTTTTTAAAAATATTTGTTTCAACACATTTTGCAATAGGACTGCGCAATTATTAAATTTATTATAACTCATATTGATTGAGTAATCGAACAATCCACTTTTAAGAGCTCTGCGCTAAAAATTAAATAAAAACCTATAATAAGGCGAGATCAGCTATTTCCACAATTTCTTCAAAATCACCTACAGTGTCTGAATGATACATACATTTCTGTTGTCATATATTGAGCTATTCAACCTTGATAACATACTGTTCGATTTGGAAACGTTTTGCTGCAGAAACTATTAGCCTTCATATAACACTTTATTCGATCTATTGAATTTAGGCTTTCCAACCTCATCCTATTTCGAATCTTAGTTTTTGTTGAATTCATTGCGGAGAAAACGCGCTCAACAAAGCATGTGAGTGCGTCAAGGATAATAATATGAATTTACTTATATTTCCAAACATTTTATTGCCTGTTGCTGTTTGCACTCCGTAAGCAATTATCCAAAATTCTTCAGAGACGGATGGAATGGTTCTGAAAAAAGTTATTCTATGTGAAAGTTAAAAGATTTAAATATTCAGTTTCCGCTGCTTTTCTTTCCTTCAAAGTCAAATAGTGAATTGGCAGGTCCCTGAAACTCGCTCTCTTGTGATTCACACACTTTTCTGGTGATAAAATCAAAGTTTTTGTAAAAGTATTTAATTGACTAGGTAATCGTTTCAAAAGTTCTTCGATTAGGGTGATTAANGTAATCGAACAATCCACTTTTAAGAGCTCTGCGCTAAAAATTAAATAAAAACCTATAATAAGGCGAGATCAGCTATTTCCACAATTTCTTCAAAATCACCTACAGTGTCTGAATGATACATACATTTCTGTTGTCATATATTGAGCTATTCAACCTTGATAACATACTGTTCGATTTGGAAACGTTTTGCTGCAGAAACTATTAGCCTTCATATAACACTTTATTCGATCTATTGAATTTAGGCTTTCCAACCTCATCCTATTTCGAATCTTAGTTTTTGTTGAATTCATTGCGGAGAAAACGCGCTCAACAAAGCATGTGAGTGCGTCAAGGATAATAATATGAATTTACTTATATTTCCAAACATTTTATTGCCTGTTGCTGTTTGCACTCCGTAAGCAATTATCCAAAATTCTTCAGAGACGGATGGAATGGTTCTGAAAAAAGTTATTCTATGTGAAAGTTAAAAGATTTAAATATTCAGTTTCCGCTGCTTTTCTTTCCTTCAAAGTCAAATAGTGAATTGGCAGGTCCCTGAAACTCGCTCTCTTGTGATTCACACACTTTTCTGGTGATAAAATCAAAGTTTTTGTAAAAGTATTTAATTGACTAGGTAATCGTTTCAAAAGTTCTTCGATTAGGGTGATTAAACAGTCTTTTAATATGCTTCTCAGGTCAAGTTTATCACCCAGTTCATTAGCCTCTTCTCTAAAATTACCGTGGAAAACTAAGTTTTGTATATTTTTATAATTGGAAAAGACTTATTTGAAGGGAAAAAATCGCCAAAAATCGCCAATGGCGATTTCCTAAATTTTTACGCGCAGATATCTACAAACAAAAGCCAAATTGGCGCGAAATCGCCAAATCTGGACACTCTGATCAGTGGTACGATACAGTGTTGCCACTTTGTGAGTAATTCCTCAAAACGTGAGGAATTTCGAGAGCGCTTGAGTAGTTTTTGAGGATTTTCATTTTGAGGAATTTTCTCTCGATATATTTGCAGATAACAAATGCAACCATGTTTTACACAAGAGAGTTGTTAAATCGCTCTGCAAATTTGGNCATATATATATTTGAACTTTAAACGACGATACTATGTACGTATGTACATGGATACATATTNTTTTAAAATGCGCGAAATACACCCCACAAGCGGCTTGGCAAACATTCTTTAAACCTACTTTTCCTATTTCGCCATAAACCATGCAAACATGACTCGTTCAAGCAAAGAATTTTAGTTTCCTTCCGGTGCACAATGCAAAAGGGTTTGGTTTTCTTCGATTTTTCTCTCTTGTGTCCTCATTTGGTAAAAAAAAAACCGTCGCTAATGGGCGATTTTATCATACACAACGTAAGCGGTTTGATCAAACGTTTACATGGCGGCCAGAAAATCAAAAAAATTAGATTTCTGTTCACATTTCCCTCAA